ATGAAACCACAAGGCTGATAAAGCTGCCAAGCAGGCAGCATGGATTAGGCAACTAGACACTTCTGGCCTTGTAATCATGCCCTCTGCTTTGCCTTCAAGTCCCCAGCATAGTCACTTAGAACAAAAATTGGCAGAGGAGGGGAATACTATTTAAATGGTTACAGTGGCAAGAAGATCAACAAGGACACCTCTTCCTACCAGAAGGTGACTAATGAAAAATCATCACAAGCCTTCATGAAGCAACTCATGGTAGGAGGGACTCACTACGGAATTTAATTCAAAATCACCTCGTGGACAAGGCTGTAAAAACCACAATGGATCAGATAATTCAGGCATATGAAATTTGTCTTTGAAACAATTGCTGAGCCTATCCACCGGCCCCACCTCTGACTGCTTCAGTACAGGACAGAGGAACATATTCTGGAGAGGATTGGCTAATTGATTTTACACAGATGCCTCCCCAAGGGGAATTCAAATATCTTCTAGTTTTTGTAGGCAGTTTCAAAGGCTAGATGACAGCATTGCCCACATGAACAGAGAGGGCAACTAAAATTTGTAAACAGATGCTTAAATAAATAATTCCTAGGTTTAGGCTTCCAGCCTCCCTACAAAGTAAGAACAGGACACTTTTATCACTCAGGTTACCCAAAGATTGTCCAGCAGTCTTAGCATCCAGGATGAACTTCACTCAGTCTGGCATCCTCAGTCCTCTGAGAAGGCTGAGAAAATGAATCAAACTCTTAAGAGAGTCTTCCATCAACTATGCCAAGAAACCCAAGAATCATGGATTAAGCTCCTCATTACTGCTTTACTATGAATAAGAGCTGCCTTAAAGTGAAACTTAAAGCTCAGTCCCTTTGAAATGACTTTTGAGTGGCCTTTCCTCAAAACTAGCTAGATAAAGGTTTAAATCAGTGTTTAAAGTACATTATTAACTTATGACAAGTTCAGCAAGCAATCACCCAATATGGCAATGAAATACTACCCCATCCTGGTAAAAGGGTTTTTATTATCTCCCTATTAGCTCAGGTGCACAAGTCCTACTCAAGACATGGCAAGAAGAAAGCCCAAAGGATGAGTTAACTGAAAAATGGAAGAGTCCTTACCAGGTTATCTTGGCCACTCCAACAGCTGTAAAGTTGGAAGGATATCCTAGTTGGGTACATATCTCTAAAATAAAACCTTTTCCTTCTCCCAACAAACATACCAGCTCAGAAGAGTCAAAAACAATCTACTCTTGTAAGCCAATAGGGGACCTCAAGTGCTTGTTCAAAAAGGTGCCTCCAGAGGACAGCAATAAAGCTAAGTGACACTCCTACACAAATAACTGACACAGGTCTACTTAGTCTCCTTCTACTATATCTTTTGCATTTTTGGTTCTTTTTGAGACAGGGTCTTGCTCTCTCATTCAGGGTGGAGTACAGTGATGCAATCACAGCTTATGGCAGCCTCAACCTCTGAGGCTCAACCAGTCCTCCCACCTCAGCCTCCAGAGTAGCTGGGACCACAAGTGTGCATCACCACACCCAGCTATTTATTTATTTATTTATTTATTTATTTATTTTTGTAGAGACAGGGATTTTACTCTGTTGCTCAAGCTGGTCTCAAACTCCTAGGCTCAAGGAATCCTCCTACCTTAGCCTCCCAAAATGCTGGGATTACAGGCATCAGTTCACCTCACCTCTCATCCTTTTTCTTTCTTCCTTTTTTGTTTGTTTTTTGTTTTGTTTTGTTTTGTTTTGTTTTTTGAGATGGAGTTTTGCTCTTGTTGCCCAGAGTGGAGTGCAATGGTGTGATCTCAGCTCACAGCAACCTCCACCTCCCAGGTTCAAGCGATTCTCCTCCCTCAGCCTCCTGAGTAGCTGGGATTACAAGCATGCACCACCACGCCTGCTAATTTCATATTTTTAGTAGAGACGGTGTTTCTCCATGTTGGTCAGGCTGGTCTCAAACTCCCACTGACCTTCTTTTTCTGTTGTTTGGTAGTATTTTCTTAATAATCTACTGGTTCAGTTTGCTCTGTCTGCTTCTCCATGGTTGGAATTAGGACTTGCATTTTGCCCTAAACATTAGTCATGCTCTCACTATACTCTCTTTTATGTCTTTCTGTACCCTTTTTCCTTTAACGTGGGTGCAGGGCTTCTGGAGCCAAATTAACTTGATCAACTTCTCTAATATCATCAGTAATGAGGAATCTCTTTTTAGCTTCTGTGTCTGTCGCTGGCATCCCAGCTTTATTCCAGTGTCCCTTTTGCAACCTCGTTAAATCTATCTACTCCCAACTAATAGAGGGCAGCTGCTAATAGAGGACAGCCGCCTCTTTTAACTAACCCTTTAACTCTCAGGCTGCTTCCCATCCATTGGGATCTTTGCATCTTCCCAGCTAAAATGTATTCTCTGGCCAGAGAAAATGAGGAACTAAACTGAACCTGAGCGGGATGCATTTGTTGCAACCGTCTCATCACAACTTTACTTGGTACCCTGCTTCTGACTTAAAAGCTTGTGCAAATAACTCATTGTTGCCCCATATATACAATTACTAGGACTATGTGGGCCCAAACCTGCTGACAAAACTCTTTATAATTACTAGGGGTGATGTGAATATTGGTAGGGTAATATCCTGCCACTTTGGGAATATAGCTTCACACTGCCCCAAGGGTTCATAATAAATTACAAGCTCAGCTATGGGGGCAGATATTCAATGCTACAAGGTATCTCAAAGGTCATTCATGACCATCTAGTACAGAAAATCATGGAACAATACATTGACAATAGTGTGTTGTCCCCCATCTGCACAGTTCATAACTTACACCTCATAATTCTCAATTACACCAATGAGTAAATTTGTACTTGTGCTTGTCCCATAATTATTTTTCTTGGTGGATACCCTAATAACTACCTCCCATGGTCCACTGCTCATTATCCTTACACCTTCACTCCATTAGCTTGAGCTTACTCTTGTATACATAATGTACAGTGATAAATTGAGTAATTATCCATAACTCCATCTCCCAACATCAGGCTTCTATTTGAGCAGAGTGAGGCCTCCGCATGGTCGTAGGAGGAATAGGCCTGGCTTTTATTCTAGCAGCTCCTTGGGGATTGTTCACTTACCATGAGGTTACTTTGCACAATTTAATGCAACAGATAGAGCATATGGTGGACAAGGCAAGGCCGGCCCTGGAGGAGCTAAAAATCTCCCTAAATTCTCTTAATAACATGGTGTTAGACAATGAATTGTCACTACATTACTTATTAGCTGAACAGGGTGGCATTTATGCACTCACCAGCAGATCCTACTACACTTGGATAAATACTACAGAGCAAGTAGATGTTAACATCCAAGCAATTTATAATCAGGCAAAATTGTTACACTTTTTTGGCAAAGGGGATTCAACAGCTGACTCAACATAGAATGTTCTCAGTTCAGCCTTACACTCCATAAATTGATCCCTTCCTTTCTTAGGGCATCTAGTAGCTATCTTTCTTCTTTTAATTTTAGGGCCATGCTTATTTAACCTAACGATAAAATTTGTGTCTTCCAGACTACAACAATTGCATATCAAGTTAATTGTCATGAAAGCCTTCCAACTTGTTCCAGAGACCACCAACCTAGAACCATATTGGTCCTTCCACTAAGCCATGGTAGATTTCTACTCCTCCCTAGAATAGACGTAGGAACTACTTCCGTGCTCAGCAGGAAATAGCTCCAGAAGAAACCTTTGCCCAAAACCACTTAAGAATAAAGAGGATAAAACCTCTTAAGGGAGGAAGAAGGCAAGTGAGCTGACTCATTTCGTGTTTTGATGTGATGTGAAAAAAAAAAAAGAAAAAGAAAAAGAAAGAAAAGCCTCTTACTCTAGTTGTAGCTTAATCTCCAGCCAATCAGCATCAAAGTCCCAAGAAGCTATTAACCACAAGTTCCTGTTTGGAGGGTGAGGACTTCCCTGAAGCCCTTCATGCACAACTAGTCTTAAGTTTCAAATCATAGTGACTTTTCCTCATTTTAATGCTAACAATTAGGCCCAGAGATAGATATTAAAAATGCTAATGTTACATGTGGTATATGAAGATGCATGTAAATAGAGGCATGCAAGAGGCACTTGTGCAATGGCTTCACATGCATCTTCATACACCACACATAACAGTAGCATTTCACGTGCCCTGATGAAACCCTTCCCTGTAGAAAGACCCTATTAAACTAACCCACAGGCTAACCTTGGGGAGCAGCCTGCCCTTTTTCTTTCACAGTGCCAATTTCCCTTGTACACAACTAAATGAAGCTTTCTCTTTGCTGTTACGTCTGGTAATCTCTCTTGATTTCTATCCTAGGAGATTACAAGAACCTATAGGGCTGCTAGTAACAGAAAGAAAAAGAGGCTGTGATTTGGGGTAGGAATTTTTATAGGAGAAGAAACTAGAGAGAGATCTACCTTTCTAAATAGAGCTTCCAAACATACCTTGGAAAGTTATCTGATCGGAGACAAGTTGAGTGCATATCACAGCGCAGGCTAGAATGACTCAGCCTCATGCTGCAGAACTGTGGCTTGTCTTTTCTTTATGGAACTGTATTGTGTGCACACCTTATAATATCTAGGAAACTTAGTGACGTGGTGGTGAGAAGTCTTCATATCTATCTTGGGGAGAGACAAATGTGAACAAGTCATATTGAGAATGAGATAAGACCATGAAATACATGTGATTATACCTTTTAAAGTATCTAAATAAAAATAAAAAGTCCATTGTTGGGAGACAATTCTCTACAGGTATTTTATGCTTCTGCATGGCTTTTAACCTTTTATTTCAGTGTGACTTTTCAAGGACATTGAAAAGCCTTGGAATGTAGTGGTAGTGTTTTCCTCCAGATAAAGGGCAGGTTTATTTGATGTTTATAATAATAAAGATAGGATCTCCATACAAGGCAAGGTTTGGAGCTGTTTTTGTCCAGCCCCCTTATAAGAAGTCAGGGTTTCCTACAGGTGCACCATTCACCTGTGCTGCTTCACGTCACCCCTGTGACATTTGGTGGGATAAGAAGAATTGGCATAATCATGAAACTCATGCTGCTGGCTCTGTAGTGAGTACTGAAGTTTTCTGTCTTTAACCCAGGAAATGATGTCTTTTACAAATATCCATGGAACCATGGCAAGTTAATTTTTATGGCAGAGGAAAATCTCAGATCCTACATATTCAAGCAAGTTATTGACATTCAACTGAGTTGTTTTTTCAATGGTAAATTTAGAATTCTCATATTCATTGACTTCACTTAAATCTATAATTTTATGCTATGTATGATGACACAAATGATCTAGCATGATTTAGTAATTCTCAATGTATTCCCCAGACCATTTTCATGAGGATCTCAAGAATATCTGTTAGGTATACATGTACGCCTGGGTCAAGCACCGCAGTTATTGTAACAAAATCTTTAGGAGTGATGTAGAGGAATCTATGGTTTAAAAATATTCTGAGGCAATTCTGAAGCACTCTTCTTCCTTTCCATTTGTTGCATTACTTTGCTTTTTAAAGTTAAATGTTTTGGTTTATTGGGAAGCAGTTTTTGGACAAATAGATTTGCTTAGAAAAAAACAAATAAGTTAGAGAGAAGGAAGTGGCTCTCTAGCTCTGTCAAAACAAACACGAGGCTTCACATTTAAGAAAATTCTTTTGCGTTTCTAAGCAGTCTATGATAATGCTGTCATCACTTTATAGTTTTAGGTTTGCAAGTTTAGCTCTTACAAGGTTGCTTTTAGTTTTTTTGTTGGTTTGTTTTGCTTTTAAACCATTATTTACTCCATCTTCTGTTTTTTACCTAAACAGTGTTGCTGACTTATCCGTTTTACTTAACTGTTTTACTTAGAGGCCAAAACAATAACATTTCAGCCAGTAGAGATATATAAGTAATGGACATCAAGACTATCTGCAAATAATCAGAAATTATAATTTCATATTCAAAAAAGATTCAAATAAAATATTTTTTATTTGTTAGCAAAATCAAAATTATACAGTTGATGCAATAGGCTGAAAAGAGTGTGGTTATGGATTAAATCCTGGCTCTTTCTCTTGTTGGTTTGAGATTTATCAAGAAATCACAATATTTGAACCTGATATAAAGCAGAAATGTTTGGATGGGTTATAAATCATCAACTAACTTGGTAATAACTGTTTCCCTATCACTATAGCTTTTCAAATTATTGTGTTTCAGTTCAAAAATGGGAGTTATCTTTCTGTTTTGAATTCTCCTACTCCGATTTGAACAAATGGTGCTCAAAATTTTTTCGAAGCTGTTTCAATGTCTCTGCCTCTATAATATCACTCAGAAACTTTTAAGTTAGATAATACTCCTAAATAATCTATTTTTAAAATTTTGAAGGACTTAAAGAAATGAATTCTGTAAGATAATTTCATTAATGGATTTGCAACCTTTTCTGTTTCTATGAACATTTTGATTTAGTAAAATGTGTGTCTGTTGAGTTTTGCACAAAACATACTAAAAATAACTATTTTTTTAAAAAAAAAGATAGCATGTTAGAGATTCGAAATTGACCAATGAGTTAAAGAATTAAGAACTTCCATGATCAAGTTCACTTTTACTTTATAAATCTGTCTCAGATATCTATGTGGTCTATAGATAGAAGAATATAGGTACTATATCAATCAGAATTAATGTTGGCTACATACAGAAGAAAAAACTCAGATTAAGGACTTAAACAAGATTCAGTTTATTTATTTATTCTCCCACATTAAAGAGATACAAAAGTCTCAGGCTGCAGCTGATGTGGGTGCTCCATGTGTTCTGACCTAACCTCATTTCTCCCCAGTCTGTGTCTTTTTTTTTTTTTTTTTTTCTGTCGCCCAGGCTGGAGTGCAGTGGGGCGATCTCGGCTCACTGCAAGCTCCGCCTCCCGGGTTCACGCCATTCTCCTGCCTCAGCCTCCCGAGTAGCTGAGACTACAGGCGCTGCCACCTCGCCCAGCTAGTTTTTTTGTATTTTTTAGTAGAGACGGGGTTTCACCACGTTAGCCAGGATGGTCTCGATCTCCTGACCTCATGATCCGCTCCTCTCGGCCTCCCAACCCAGCCTGTGTCTTACACCTCATGTTGGAAGGATCCATGATCAGGTATTCCAAGAAGCAGAAAAAAGAAAGAGTTTTAGGAAATATATACTACTTCTATTTTAAGAAAGAGAGAAAGAAAAAAAAAAAAAAAACTTTCCTTAATGCCACTTTATTTTTCTTACCTTTTTACCAGAAGAATTTAGTCTCATGGTCACACTCAGCTGCAAAGAAGTATTACAGCAGAATAGTGGCTTTTATTTCAGATAACAATATTACCATGTTACCAGCTAATAATAGGAATTTTTTATACTGAGGAAGGAAGTAGTTAGTTTTGGGGGAGTCTATTAAAATCTTTGCCACAAATGTCAAAAGAAATTATTGGGAGGAACAAGAAAAGGAGTTGATATATGTAGGTATTCATATTGGGAACCTTTTAAAATTTTGAGAAACTTCTTTAAGAAGCAACTTTCTAACAACTGAAAAGTTGATTTGCCTACTTGAAAAGGCAACTTAACCTCAGTTAAAAAGCAAACAAAACAAACAACAGCAACAAAAAATCCTCTGAATAGCATCATGTCTTCCACTTCTTAGATGTGGAAATGCATGCTGTCAAAAACAGTTTGATGTATTATTGACATTACCTCAAGTATATATTCAGATGTGAAAGTCTAACAGTGTATTATGTAGGAAAATAAATTCTGAAATATTAAGTTTCCTGAAATAAAGTTATCTCTGATATAATCCACTCCAATTTGTTTTATAAAGAAAAAATGAGTCAGTGGTTTGTTCTGATTCCATTAAAAAAAATCCCGATCTCCCAAATTCAATAACAACATTCTTTCATGTTAAACTTTTAGAAAAATTCTTCATGGTTTATTTTACTCGATCTGTCTCTGTCTCTGTCTCTTTCTCTCTCCCACTACATATTATATTTTGAAATATTGTGAAAAATAATAGATAATGCTTTTATGATATTTAATTTGTATATATTAAGCATATGAGGAATGTAACAGGCTATGTATTAGGTGACAATTAACTTTAAACTTTGGAAAGCAAAAGTAATGTGGAATATGTAATCTACATTTTCTTTTATGAAGTAAAACTCAGTGAAAATATTATTTTTGAATAACAGAGACATAAATTAGCAAACGATTAAAATATTGATGTTCATGTAAAATGAAGAAAGAAAGTAGAATGACCAAACCTGGTTATGATTCCTCAATGTCAAGTGTCCTGGAATCCTTTTATCTTTACACCCACCACTTGTAGCGCATGCATTCATTTACACAGTAGCCTCATGTTTGCATTAGATGAAGTTCCAACCATCGTATTCTCATTGCAAATAGAGGAAGATAGGGCACAACAAGGAATTTGCTGATTGAATCAACCCAAATTAATAAGTTTTCCTAGAAGCCCTATGAATGACATCTGACCATAAAATTGAGCCAAAGCATTGATCACATACCTACTCCATTTCAAAGAGAGCCCTAGAAATGAACTTCTTCAGCTGGCTCTATCAACCCTCATGAAAGCGGACTCCTGTCTTTAAGTGTGAAGAGGACACTGGACACTGGGTTTATACAAAAGACTCTCAGCTACAGTGTGACCTCACAGAAACTTTCAAAAAATATGTGGCCTTTACAGTAGCCCAGGATTTGTGAGGCTAAGATGCCTCCACAACCCTAACCACCTTCTGGGAAATGATCAGACTTCTGGTCCTCAGTGGGGACTTAACCCCATTTCAGCAGTTAGCAACTCTGTATAGAAAACAGTGAAACAGCACTAAAAAGAAAGCATTTATCAAGAAACTAAAGGATTATTCTGCTGGAGAGTTTCTCTCTTAACCTTTCTAGAGAAAAAAATACCAAAACCAATTATCTCCTTTTGGATAAAAAATAGAAGAGAACATTGTTTTTACAGGAAAGAAAATTGCCTAAGACCTCAGGACTACGTTTCTCATTTTCTTAAGAAGTGTTTGGTATAACTGAACATTACTGTGCAGTCCTGTATCTTCACATCAAACTACTACCTTCTCTAATCATTTGTCTAACTGTAAGTATTAATAGCACTTGTAATTTCTTCACATAAACAATTTTCAGTAAATCTGTAGTTAATTTTCTTTACAGAAATCAGGTTCTGATAAATAAATTTGATATTCAATGTGTCCATGGAAACAGAGTTTTGAAAATAACTCCTGATAATAATCATGGCTTACTAAAAATACCCTTGCACATTTTTAAATGGCCTTCCTATTTGTAACAATATTCAGGGAATAAGGAAACTGTTAATATACATCTGTTTTGGCATTATCCAATATTTCCATGTTTAAATTCCCAGAAAAAGATACAAAAAATCCCATGTAGATTGTTTCAGAGTAAAATTTTAAATCAGTATTTACTTGTTCTTGAGTCCAAGTACAGATGACAGCATAGGTTTTAAACTTGCTTTTAAGACTCAGAACTTCAGCATGACATCACCAATGCTTTTTTAAAAGGTAGAACTCCAAATTTACAACTAAGAAGCAAGTTCCTCACATTCTCTTTTCACGGAAGAGAACATACTATGCACTTCACCCTGTGCCATAAGGAAGATAAGGTAAACCCAATTTGGGAAATAGGTAGCTACATTATTACAATCCCTTTATTTATTTATAAATTGCTTAGTCACTGGACACACATTTTAATTCAATATCTAATATGCACTGGGTCTCTTATGGATTGTTCAAAATTCTAGATTGAGAAAAATATTTTTTGATCAACATCTGTATTATCTGTTTACTTATCTCTCTTCACAAGAAAATTGATACCTCGGTTACTCCCCTCCCTCTAGCTGCAATATCAGAGAATACTATGAGATGATACATGGTTCTAAATGGGATATAATCCAATGTCAACATTCATGGCACATCTAATAAGTGGTTTGGAAGGTCAAGACAGGGAAGTCAATATGGACTGGGATTACTGGAAAGTTGACAGATTTAAAATGACTTTAGAAGATTGCAAGGGTTAGGAGGGACAGATAAGAGAAGTCACTTTACTCATAAGAATAACCTTAGCAATATGACTAGTTTTCATTTATGAAGAAAAGAGATGGTTCAAAAACAAAATATAAGGCTTCTATTAGGGGTGTGGTGGTATAAATGTAAAACATGGATGAAGGAAAAATATAAAATATGGAATTTATTTGTAGCAAAAGATTCTTTTTAATAAGCCTATCAATCCATATTCCATACTTCATTTTAGTGGTGGAGCACAGCGGGGTTGGGTCAGTCTTAAGTTACAAGGATAAATGAGGAAGGCAATTATCAAAGTCAGAAAGCTCATGTCAGTTTAAGAGCAGAGAGGCAAGCATATGCTCAAACCAGAGGCAGAATCACTGGTAGTGAGTCTGGTGGATATACCCATGTGGAGACAAGACAAAAATGTCTGACAACACGGTTGTGATGCTTGGGGTTCCAACTACTAGACATGGGCTTTGTTGTGTAAATGTCTTGGCTACAGTTAATTGCAAAGATATAGAGAAGGAAACTTTAAAATTATCTTCATTCTAAAATCTGTGATATTCCTACCATATCTCCCCAGTTTCAGAAAGCTAAAAACGATAAGGGTTTCTACTTGACCTAGAGATAATAAAAATGAGTGAGCAAAGGAATTTTAATGTAAATTTTAGTATTATAAAATTCTGCATTTTGAGTCGTTAAAATAGTAGGTATGATACATTGTTTGTTGATAAACATATTTATACATCAGTTGAACTTCATAAAACTATATACACTTACAAGGATTGTATACAAATAGTTTACCATCTTGGATATCAAAAGGGGATATTCAGACTCCCTTCTGGTTTGTCGCGTAGTACAAGGAAGCTTACTGGAGAACATTAGTATGATACACAGTGGGACAGAGGTTACAGATATTTCTGTTAGACAAGCCAGAGTGTCTATAAAATGCATATTTTTACCTCTTTAAGTCCGTGAATAAATCCTGTTTCTAACTAGATGTGTCAAACTTTCAATAATTACCTTACAAAGACAATAAATTTACATGTGTGTATGTGTGTAAAATGAGAACCATAGGAAAAAAGACAACTTCACAGATTATTTTGTGTAACTGAATCCTCTCAATTTTAAAGCAAAAAGCCTGACTCACAAAACAAATGAGAAATTCAGCTCAGCTTGAGTCCAAATGGCGTATTTGTTAAAGAGAATACTTTTGAGTAAAACTAACACAAATATATGGATTTGATCCAATAGATAATGGAGGGTCATGGTACATTCTTGAGCAGAATGGTAATGTGTTAAAATAAATGGTTTTAACATAGTAATTGATGTGGCAGTTACAGTTATGAAGTTTGAAGAAATGGGGTAATGATGTCTTGCACTTTGATGTGAACAGTGAAAAAAGAAAGCAAAGGAAGATCAAAGAGATAGTTCTGAGACTTCAGCCTTGTTGAATCTTTTGGAATAAGTGACATGAAAAGTTAGGTTTCACTTCTTCATTTTGAGTCTAAAAATTAGAATGGTTGTCTCTGCCATTGTAAGATACAAGAGGAAAACGGAGATAATGGGTGGAGGAGGAGAGGAGAAGAGTTAATTTAAAGACAATCTGAATTTGGGGGTGTGTGGGATGTCATGCAGAAATGCTGCGAACACAATCAGCTTTATCATCTGAAGACTTATTGAGAATCAAAATTAAAATTAGAATATGAGAGTTTCAATAGGGAGGCTAAGAATAAAGGCAGAGACTCAGATTAGTTGTAAGAAGTATATAGTTGAAAAAATCCCAAAGTCAAAGATTCACAATTAAGGAGGCTTATAAACAATGGATAATTAGGAAGAGTAGAAAAAGGAAGAGAAAAGAAGATAATAAGGGTTCAATTACTGTGCCATTTTGTATGCTAATTTTCATATTTTTGTGACATATAAATTTTGTTCCTCTGTTTCTGCTAAAATTTCCTAGAAAAAAAAATGCAGTATCAAATGTAAGTTTTGTTCTCCTGTGTTTATATTTAGTGGGTGCTTGATAAAGTGTTGGAAAGGCAACTGGTCATGGGCCCTGGGCGTTCCTGAACATTCTTGGGAAAATTTTTTACTCTATTGTCCTTACCAACTTAGCAGTAGGTTTAGTAAATGAGGCTAGAAGATCTCCAGAAATTAGACCTTCTCCCTTTGGCTCTTAACTAGGTAATGATTAAGACAAAATATGGTCAAATGGACCTATTTTGAAGATTTGAGATTCCACCCTGACCTTTCTACATGATACATGTAGATATAAGTAGGGGCTGATTGGGAAATAAAAGTGAAGTTACACCTTCTGCACTGGGACACATAAATTTGTAGTGATAGGGAAGAAGCAAAAACTTTAGCGTTTGGGAAATGAATATATTAGGCCTTAGGAGGTTCAGGAAGTGGGTGAGGGCTATTAAGTTTTGCGTTGTTCTTTAAATCTGGGACCACCATCTGAATCAGGGAGCAATTGAGGCTGGCAATCTGGTTTGCTGTTAGGTTTGTCATCTCTGTTCAAAGGCTATAAAAACAGAAAAACTCATATGGACATGACTAGCCCTGTGCTATGCTGCTCTGGTTGATGCCCTCTTATGGTACCCCAAAGTGAGTATGTTCAGACACACAGACTACCATACTTTTGTTTCTATATAAGTGATAAAATTTCATATACTTTTTATGTCTGAGTAACCTTCTCATAAATGGTGGTTGAAGGTTCAAATATTCAATGACTGTGCCATGTGATTTATATGGATCGATGAGATTCATTTAAGAGCAGGCTTGCTTTTGCTCACTGACAAAGCAATAAATCCGCCAAGTTCAGTGGTTCCTTCAGATAATACAGCAGACTGATATGCAGGCATCTATGATGAACCCTTTACATCCCATTATGGCTGAAGGGGAGCATAGGAACCAGCACACACCAATATAAATTTCTGGCTACTGTTCTTCCTGTCAGTTATAAAGTCCTGTTTCATCCACCTAGGAGTCTGTGTCTTCTGCCAGGCTACACAAAATAGTAATAGGATAACTGCTTAACTTGTAAGTAGGGTAAAATCCCAAACTCTTCACAGTTCTTGACAAAAAAAAAAAAAAAAAAAGTGTCTTCTCTACTGCTTCGTGATAGAAAAATTCATCATTGGCAGAAAACTCCAATAATATGTAGCTAGGATTATAAATTACAGAATACAAATTTTTGTATCTGACTACTGATTTGTTTTAGACTTTTGTAATTTAGATAAATCCCATAACCTCCTGATCCCTTATCTTCCTCCTCATATTTGTTATATGTAGATAATAATAAAGATACATTTGTAAGTTTAAGTTTAAGTGCTTTGGCATGTTTGGTTTTAAAACAGCTTTATATATGAAAATAGAGAGCAAAGTTTTTCACATGATAGAATTTTTGAAGTCTTTTATTTCCTTTTGTCTTCGTCTTCCTCCTCTGCACATTTTTATGAACTTTATAGATCTTAGAGATAACTGGAAGGGAAATATCTTCAAGATCAGCATACTAATTTTCATTGAAATATTGGTGAAAACTATAATAATCTACCACATACATGTTGAATTTTGTAAACCAAGTACCTCCCTGATGAAAAACACTTTTACACTTAGCTAACTACAGACTTAGTGGTGACATTGCCCATGGCATTCCTTAATATAAGAACTAGAGGTATGGTAGGGATAATTGGCTTCACTTTCTCTCTTTGACCTAACCTGCTACTTACCTCTTTCTTTCCTTCCTTCCTTCCTTCCCTCCTTCCTTCCTTCCTTCCTTCCTTCCTTCCTTCCCTTTTCCTTCCTTCCTTCCTTTCTCCCTCCCACCCTCTCTTCTTTCTTTCTTTCTTTCTTTCTTTCTTTCTTTCTTTCTTTTTCTTTCTTTCCTTCTTGCTTTCTTGCTTTCTTGCTTTCTTGCTTTCTTGCTTTCTCTTTCTTTCTTTCCCTCCCTCCCTTCCTTCCTTTCTCTCTTTCTTTCTTTCCTTCCTTCCTTCCTTCCTTCCTTCCTTCTTTCTTTCTTTCTTTCTTTCTCTGTCTCTCTCTCTCTTTC